CTTGAATTGTAAGCATATTTGATCCCCTTTAGTCACGAAATCACCAAACGTAATCTCGAACAATGATGAAGCCAATATCCTTTGACCAAAAACTGGATTGTGAGATATTTTGACACCGGTTCCGCTCTGATACCAATTGTAAGGTCCTATAAACGGATCTTAACCAGTGATCAACCAATCAATAAATCAACAATAGTAAGAATCGAAGTAGAAGAAGAAGAAGAAACAAGCTTGCATACGCTTATATTATAAAACGTCTGGTACAACTTGCAGAAACCCTAGCCGTCAATACTAAATGATCAACAACCAGAAAAGATTTTGACCAACTCTATATATAGAGAAGACTCTATCCGTAAACACGGTTTATGGTCGTAAACCTGTTTACGGCCGTAAACACCTAAATAACTTGTAAATACATGAAATGAATCAAAAGACCTTTTACAATGCAAAGCCTAGACCAAACCATAACCTAGACCCTTCAAGTGGTAACAAAGGTTTGTTGGAACCTCTAGTCATGAACTACTGCAAAATAAACAAAAATAAAAACGTAAATCTAAACAAAAACTAAAAAAAAAAAACTAAAAATACCTTCCTAACTGAACCCACATCGTGTACTTAAGGTCCATGCCGTGGTATCAGATCTGAAACAAAAATTAATACAGAAAATTAACTTTTCACAGGTTTTACCCTACAAAAAGGATTGATTAACTCAAAAAAATAAATTAACAATCAAATAAGCCATTCCCTAGCAACGGCACCAAAAACTTGATGTGTGCAAATAGTTACACCTAATTTTACCTACTCTTCTACTAGCTATTCGACTCATAGCAATGTACCCCTCGCAAATAGTATAACACAAAAGTCGGGTATCGAACATAGGGAACAAAATCAATTATTTAACCTACTTACTATTAAATTAATCTAAAATTCTAACAAAAGTAAAATGGGTTTTTATCTAATTTTGCAAGTTTACATAAACTTAATTTATCAACAACTATCCAATCAACTTATAAAAACACTTCTGTTAGTTTAAATCCACATTCCCTCAATGGTTTAAATATTAATTATGACAATTCCCGTTTGTTACCAATTAGAATATTATTAGAAATTCAATTCCAAATTTACCAATATTCAATTAATTCATGTAGAGTTATGCGTGTTCACACGTAATTTAATACATAATCATTTATTAGATAGGATTGGAGCTATGTAAGATTGAGTCAACGAACACAATTCTGGTCACAATATGAGTTCTCTAACACATCCAAATTTAATACTTCAATTGCTTATCTAAGATTGGTTTTATCTTAGCTCTAATAATATAATGTTCACTAAATTACTAGATAGTCAAATTCAAGTAGATTAATGGTCACTAAACTACATAAGATATGAATTAAAGCAATCAAGTATCATGTTAAGCATGCTAGGTATAAAAAATCACACATAAGACATCAACCAACTAGAAAAGTCTAAATTAATATAAACAACCCATGAGTTCCAACTTCATCTAGCTAATAGAAGCAGCTAGATTTAGTTACTCATCAAAATAATCACTAGTAAACTTCATATTGAAAAGCATAGTAATGTACAAAACTACAAACAATGTATGATCTCCTTCCTCTTCCTTAGTTGAAGCTATAAGATTTCTGACTTTTATTCTTCTGAAAAACAACTTCTAGAACTCTATGCTTCCCAAAAAAACAACCTCAAACCCGTAAGTGTTAAAGTTATATATACTTGTCATGAAATTACATTCCACGTCGTGGAATTGGGCTCCACGTCATGGACTTAGATGAATCGTTATCGGGAAAGGATTTAGACTTTGCGCGTACTCATCTTACAAAATTTTCCTTTCCACGTAGTGTAAAGGCTATCCACAACGTGCATACAACTGTTTTCGTGGATTTTCTTCTCTTTAATATTCCAAGCCTCCAAAGTTTCTTCTTTTGCCACTTTTAGTCCTTATTCTTCAAAATGACTTATTTTGGTTGCAAAATACAATTTACTCTTATAAGTACCGTTATTCCATGTAAATAACCAAAATATGTATAAAAATGTATCCAGTATTGCCTAAAAGTATGTTTAAATATGGCAATATGATCTGATATGAAACTATTTTGATAACATTTTGTAATAACTAATGGCTTTTGGATGTTTGATAAGACTTTATTTTTTTATGAATTTTATGGGTGTTACAAGTTGAGCCTTAATCGGGCTGGCTTGAGATATGATGTTATTCCCTTTGACCTAATTGTTCCCTATAAATAAAATGTTTCCTCCTTAATGAGAGGGAGCTCTCTTAGATCCCATATCAACTTTAACTATCAAATATCAACCTCTACTTTCCCTAAGACTTCTCCCGCTTTGGGTGATAAAACACCTTGCCCATACACTTCCGTATCACACCTACCTAATTGTCAGAGCTTACTCCTTGGGCACAGTTCATGGGGAGGTTCTAAGGGTTCTATTACCTCTTAGAGCTACGAATCCCGCCGGGAACCTATTAACGATGCTCATCCAAGATCCACGATTCAAATTCGACACCAACACCCGATAGCCAGATTCTGAGTTCGCATCAGTTATATATAATGCTATTTCATTTTATTCAAAATACATATTATATTTAGTATTAGTAACAATCAATTTATTCAAAATAAATTACATAATATTTCATTTCATATAAATGGCTGATTGCTATGAACCTAACTACTTTGTGTAAGGCTTTCTTTTCACAAGGATTTGCATGTTGAGTTGTTGAGAATGACATTAAATGGCCCAATAGTTGGGTCCTTAGCAATCAACCATTCATATGATTTGAATAAATCATATTTATGTCTTCCATCATCTTCTTGAAATAACCTTCCACACAAGTCATTGTATCCCTCAAAACCAAGTTCTTAAACTCTAAACTTGTATAAACCTTTTCAATATTGAAAAAATTATACCTAACACATTGCTTGTTAGATGAAATTTATGTTTAGAACTATAAATACAAATAAAAATGGATCATGTTAGTAATGTACATTATATGAAATAAAAATTAGACCCCAACTATATGACACATCTAAGCCATCATCCAGTAGCTCAAAAAACTAATTCAGTTTTCCTTATATTTAATGTACACTACAACCCATGTTATTGGGAAGATATAGGTATTTAACATCTTTACATTGATGTAAGAAGCTCACATTTAATCTGAAATTTGAGGAAACAACCATTTAACCTAACAACATACCTACATCATTTATTCCAACCATCTTTTAGAGCCTTAAAACATACTCACATACACAGACATACACACATTCTCTGTAAAAGTAGTTCCTTCCATTTGGATTAACAATAACACATACTTTACATGTGCTTCCTATATTTGACATAAGTATTTCACTTGCATAATCCCAAACATTTTGATAACCCTTTTTAAGTTTACTCTTAATCATTTCTTTAGTCTTCATAGTTCCCTATGACATTGACCCTCTGAAGTATTTATTCTAAATGTATCCAGGACATTTTCTTCATTTGGGTTAATTTCATTTTGGGCTTCCTAGTGATATATTTGAAATCATGTTTAGCTAAATAGTTACAACTAACTAAACACCCAAACTGGTGACTTCTAGCACAAATATGTGTTTCTACCATGAATTTTATTTGAATGGATCTTTCATTGTACAACCATGCTATATTCACACTAATAATACAAGGTTCGTTGTCATTTTCCCCCTAACCTTGCAATGATTCTAATTCTACCAGATTTAACAAACCTTAACTAGTAGCTTTTTGCTACATCATAGTTAATAAGTGAAAACCTAAGTTGTGTAATAAATCTCAAATAATCCTTCAAGTAAAAGACCCATCCCTACAACGGTTGGATTCAGACAAGAGTTGTGCAATAGGGTCAAACCCATCACTCTGAGATTATTCAAGCTTGATTACATGTGACATAACATATTCACTTAACAACTAACTCACATCACTTAAGAGCCCACAAATCACAAAGGAAGCAACACTCGAACAGTGGAGTCGACTGGCACTAAAACATATTAAAATTAGATGGATTCTCATACGAAGCTCCGAACTCTATCTCCCAGCGTCCCAGATACACACTAGCATACACATGCACTCCATCCTCACTCCCTATAGTAAGGCTAAACATATCGCGATTGGTCGGATGATCCCACATAAATCATCCTACCACCAACTGCCTACGACCCTCCATCGGTGCCAAATAACTATCGCATGAACACTATCACATAAAACACAACTTAAACAATATTAGGATAAAAGATTCAATCATGCAACTGTTGGACTCATACAAGAGTTGTGCAGTAGGGATCAAATCCCTTAACCTAAGGCCATTTAAGTCATGCAGTATGTGACTTAACGCATTCACTCAATAGTTAGTTCACACACGGAAGAGTCATACGAAAATATGTTAGAATAAATCTAGAGATGATCAAAAGATTCTAAAAAGGTAATTGAATCAAGAAAGCAAAACGATGATAAAAATATTTCTGAATGATTGAATATCACTGCGTGAGAAGAGCTCGATAAAGACCTGTTACTGTAGAGGCACGTTTAGGGTTACAAAAAGTATCGACTTGAGATACGGTGCATGCATGCACTATAAATAGTTAAACCCTAGCACAATAATAACCGAGTTAGATAGGCCCAACCCATTATAAGAGGACTATACTAAGATAATACAAAATTGACACAACACAATATAGCCCAACAAGCTCCCCCTTTGTGTCAATAAGGAAGGCAGATTCTTCATTGTGGTTGATACCTTTGAACTTTAAAGAGTTTTGACATGATGATCATCAGAGTCTCGCGAACCTATATATACCAAAGAATCATATTTGAGAAGCATTTCTTGTCTCCGATGTTGTTCGCTTTGTTTTATGCATCATCCCCAAAATATTTTCAAGGCAAGATGTGGAGAAAAGATGTTTATCAGGCAGATGGAAGAAATCTTTTTGATAATCAAAATCAGGTCGTTCTCAGATGTGGAAAGACATAAACCATCCATCATTTTGTATCCTGCCCGGCTTCATTTTGTCATGATCTTTCGAAGCTTCCTTGGATAGTACAGTTGGCTTCTTTCTCAGCACTACTGCAATCTCAACACCCATTTTTCCAATCTCCAAGATGTACAAGACCAACATCCTCTTCAAATGTGAAATGATTGGTTCAAATTTCTTTTCATCTTTCATCAATAGATTGATCAGCAAGATCCAATCATACAGGTTCAGGAATAGAAGATCTGCAAGATTGAATTTGTAAACTTGAATCGTAGCAACCCTTGTAACTTTGAATCTTGCATTCGGAAAGCTTTCAGTTTCAATAGGGCACGAAACCTTCACTACAGAGAACTTCTTAGAGCTCAAGGTTTTAAAATATGGTAACATGTGCTTTAAATAGAATGAGAAGAGCATGTGATCAGCACCCGAATCAGATAGATCGATATTCGCAACCCTTTTGAAACCACAAAACTGGAATGCCTTCAGAGTGATAGGCAGATCCAGTTGCAAATCTAGAGTTTTTTTAATTCGAATGAGCCAACTAGTTCTAGCAAATAAGTATTCGGATTGTCTACGGCCTCATTCAGAATTCGCTCAAGTGACCACATAGGAATGATAGTTTTATGGCCTCATTCAGAATTTGAGCCTTAGCAACGCATCAACATCCTCATCTTCCTCATCATCATCACCGAACAACTTTTCTTTACGTTTTGAACTCGAAGATACATTACCCTTCAGTTCATTCATCTTAGATTTCTGCTCAAGTTCATCGTTACCTCCTTCAGTTGATATACCAACACCAGGAATCTTCACATGTTCTCCCCCTTGTTTTGGAATAAAGGATTCTAAAACACATTCAATACTTTCAAGAATAAAGAAGATAGGCTTCATTTTCTCTGTCAAAATGTTGATGAACCGAAACGGTGAGGCGATAATCACGAGTGTCAATAAGTTGGTGCAAATCAGCATTCACGTCAGCCACGCAACTTCTAATAATGACTTTCTCAGATTTCAGCTCAGCAATTTGAGAGTTCTCATTCGCTAGTTTTAAGGACAAAACTTTCATCTTCTCATTCTTGACAGCAAGTTCATCCATGATTTTATTCTCAAGTGCCAAATCCTCATGAAGCTTGTCTATTTTGGAAGAGGTGGAAGTGTGAAATGTAGTATAGTCAGAGTGAATACTTGTGTGAATTTTCTCAAGAGCATCCTTCTCAATATGAAGGGTAGTTCCAAGGCTAGAAATCACTTGATTTGCTTTGGAAATGTTTGCTTCGAATGATGTCTCAAACGTACCCATAAACGATTGATCATCATAAAGTATTATTTCGACTTTTTCGATCGTTTCCTTGCAAATAGACAAAGAGTCAACAACAACTTTGTTAGCTTTTTCCAAGTACGTAACATGTTCCTTCAGTGTTGACTCAAGTAATGCTTTCTGAGCTGCCATAGAGTACTCTGAGCTGGAAGTGGATTTGGATGACTCAATTAAAGTGTCCAACTTCTCTTGACGAACTTTGAATTGTTGGGTAGTCATGGGAGCATCCTCATCACTAAACTACTAAACATTGAAAGGACTGAAATGAAATTCCTCAAGATCATCCTGATCATCTCTAAACACAATGTCTGGATCATCTTGACGAAGCGGAGAGATAGGAGTGAAAGCAGCACCAGATGTAAAACCAGAAGCCCCTGTCCCCCGTATCAGATAAGTTGACATTGACTGGTGGTGTCATTGTTATTGTTGTAGTGATGGAAGTTGAATAAATGAAGAGTGGAGAAGATTGAGCCATGGAAACCTGTGATTGCGAAACTCCCACCGAGACATTTGGACACAGTGCTATGGAGATAGGAGTAGTTGTAGTAGTAGTAGAAGGTGGAGTGAAGTCCTGGAAAAAGTCATCTGTTATTGGAACAGAAGTTGGCACTGAAAATATTACCTTAGGATTTATAGTAGCCGACTCCAAGACAATCGGATAAGAAGTTGTAGCCGCATCTTCTTGTTCTTGGTACTCTTGCTCGGGTATTCGAACAATTAAAATAGTTTGGGACTCCGAAGCTTCAGCATCACTTGGGGTAGGAGTTTGTGTTCTGTGAGTAGCTTTCTTTATCTTCTTTCTATTTAGAGCCTTGACTGGTTCAGAAGGTCCAACCTTTTGTTTGCGTTTTCCCCTTTTTAGGCTTCTCAGCCTCCTCCAAGACTTTCTGCATTTCATGGGTTAAGTTATGAGGATCTAATGCTGGAAGGCTACGATAGGTAGCAATGATTTCACTCTTCATCTGGAATAAATCCGATAAATGCAAACCGCGAGCTATCGGAGACGATAATGTTTGAAGTATGGATGATCGAAATATGTGTAATCACCGAACCTTCAGTCACATGGATGTGATGACAAGTGATTTCCCTCTGAACTATGATGGCCCAAAATCGAGCACATGAGATCTATGTGTGCCTTGTTACAGTTAGGATACTCTGAACTAGTTGAGTCCAGAGAATTGAACTATAGTCCAAGTTGATTCCGGAGTGTAAACCATACAGATTTTGAGGAATAACTTACTTGCACTCTCTGAGCCCATGGTCCTTTTAGAAAAGCTCTTGAACATAAAAGTAACTAACCCATTCCATATTGGATGAAGATTTGGATTCATAAACCTTAATAGAACAACAAGATGATCTTTATAACCTATTTGGTAGAACATCCCCAAAATCACAGAAAAGGAGATGGTTTCAGGATCAATCAGATCTTGAGCATCTGAAAGCCCTAATAGTCGGTTGAAAAGTGCTTCAGTGATAGTGGTCTTGACAGAACCAATTTCAAAATTGATGACTAGTCCACTTTCCTCATATCAGGCATAGGAGTATGCTTTGGAGAGAAGAGACAATGGAACATTTTTTGTTTTCGAGATGGCGATGAACAACAAAGAATATTTCAAAAACTCTATGAGAGGTTGAAGAAAAGAATCCTACTTAGATGGGTCGAGATCCAAAATAATATTTTGATCAGCCTTGATGCCCAATAAACCAGATGATGCAATTTGATCAGCACCTGATGGAGTTTCAGATGAAGAAGCCATAGATATTGTCGAAGAAGAAGATTAATAGTGCTCGAGAGAAAAAGGGTTTGTTTGCGCCTCTAAGTAATGCTGTGAAAATGGTAATGTGAGAAAGAACCATCAAATGTATTTTATACGCCAGTGTAGGAGAGAGAATTACAGCTAGAGACAGTTCATTTTCCCTAAAAAAGTTCCTGAAAAAGCGAGTGTGATAGACATGATGTCAGGTGGTGTAACTGATAAGGCGTGATATCAGGTGAGGTTTCAATTTGCACATGCCATTACCACAATCTTATCCAAAAGATTTTCCACATCATATTCCTGAAAGACCACCTTTTCTGATCACTCCATTTGTATCTGAGTGTCATTGCTTGTTCTCTGAATCTGACAGTAACCAATAGAACTGCAAACTAGACTTTAGAAAATCATAAAGATCTTCGTTTAAGAGTGTTCCAAAGATAAAGAAATAAAACAAGTTTACTAAGGAATTCTAGTGACGTCATTGAAGAGATAAAGCAGATGGATCTCTGGCAACGATCTCTTCCTTCGCAGTTAAGAGAGACTTTGAAGTGCTTGTGTGGTGTCCCATTGAATGAGATCATCAGTTTGTGAAGAAATAGTGAAAGACATCTTTTATTAAGGCTTAAGGGTGGCTTAATCTTCAACCGTACTCTGAAACTTTACCTAAGTAGGAACATTCAGATGAAGTACTTTTTTGACTAGTGTAGTCATAATATCAAGTATGCTTTGGAGCAATTTGAGTGGTTGGATAATATGGAAATCTCAAGAAAAATAAAAATTGGATCTTTTGGGAAGAAATATCTTAGGTCTAGAACAATTCATTAAGATCTCGCAAAAATGAAAAAGATATTCCAAGGTACTAACCACGAAGGTTGTTTTTTCGTTAATTCGAGGGTGATTATTCTAGAACATGTTACTTGTTCATCGTTAATTCGTAAATATGTGTCAGATTTTGGGCTTCACTCAATTCGTGGTGATTATCAATTTAAGATTATAAACACAGATGGTGTGTAACCATAAACCTCAGTGGTAATATCTGAGAGTCTCAAGGGTTACATTCATGAATACGAAAGTAATGGAGAAATATTAGAGATAGTTCCGAAGAGAAATGTACTTTTGCTATACGAAAGTGACCAAGCTGTCAACTCTTTACTCAATGTGAGAAGAGTAAGGTAGCTCAATGACTTATGGGAATAAACAGCCTAATTGGGAAGAATCGATTGGTATTATCAATTCATTAAGGGTTGAACATAGAGTCTCATAGGATTCAGACTACACGCAACAACATGCTTCTAGGGACACTTAACTAGTGTAAAGATTAAGAGTTAAATATCTTCCCCATCATTCGCAATTGAGAGTGTTATGATGTGTTCCTTCAATCCTGCTCAATTGTCTAATATTTTTGGTATTTAATAATTTTATGAAAAGAAATAACATATAAAAACAAAGAAAATATTTTTGTATTTTGAGTCGTCTGAAAAATAAATAAAAATGGAAATAATGAAATATTTTTGAATTTTTGATTTTTCTGAAAAAGTAATAAAAATAGAAAAATAACAAGATAATATACAAAAGGATACATAAAGCTTTGAACCTCCAAATGAATAGTGGACTACGAGTCACTGCGAGCATTTGCAACAATTTGTAGGTGAACCAAAAATTTATGAGTGCGAAGGTGGTTTTGGAACTGATTTAGCCTCTATCATTTCGAAGCCTTGAAGAGAGCGATTGAAGGTTGGTTCAGGTAAGGCTTTCATAAAGATGTCGGTCAATTAATCAGCAGACCTAACAAAGTGTATCTCGACATTTCCATCTTCCACGTGGTCTTAGATAAAGTGACACCTCAGTGCGATGTGTTTGGTCTTTGAGTGTTACACTGGGTTGTGACATATGTGCATGGCACTTTCAGAGTCGCAATAGAAGGGGATTCGCTTCATATTAATACCATAGTCGTGATGCTGACTTTGAATCCAGATTACTTGTGAAGTGCAAGAGGCAGCGACCATGTACTCAGCTTCAATAGTTGATAGGGAGACACAAGTTTGCTTCTTGGATTGCCAACTTACAAGTTTCCCATCAAGAAATTAACATCCTGCCGCTGTACTTTTTCGATCCAAACCACAACCTCCGAGATCAGCGTCAGAGAACGCTTTTACCAAGAAACTTGAGCTTGAAGGGTATCATATTTCGAGTGAGGAGGTTCGTTTAAGATACCTAAATATGTTCTTAACAACAGTTATGTGGGGTTCATGAGGATTTTCTTGCAACCTCGCACAATAGCAAACATAAACATGATGTATGGATGACTAGTAGTTAGATACATCAATAAACCTTTCATT